TTGGATTGAAAGATGGATTCTTTGATTTAATGAAGTTTTCTATGATATCTTTTATTTCAACTTCTTCTTCGTTTTCTTCGTAATATTGAAATATGTCTTGAACGTCTTTCTTTGGTAAATATTCTAAAGCTTTGAGGAATTGATAATACGATTGTTCTGGTGTTGTTGTGTAGATATACAGAGAATCGAAATCTAAAAGGTTTGGTGTTGTCAACATGTTAAAAGTGAGATGAGTTTTCCCAGAACCTGAACTACCGCAAATACACATGAGCATTGGGTTACTAGGAAATATGTCCGAATGTTTGAATTTCTTGCCCATTTTTATTTATTACATTTTCGTACCAAAAATCACCCCGTTGCCTTTATACTTTGAAAGGAAGATTCCCTCGCCCGAACGTATGTTCGGCGTTGCCCTTGTGTTTGACCTTCATTTCTCCAGTGTCGATTTTATCTATTAATTTGCTTAATCCCTCTTTAACGGTTTTCTTGGTTTCTTCGCCAAATCTTTGTCCGAATTCTTTAACCTTCCTTAATATATCTCCTACTCCCGAACCTCCTCGTGCTTCTCTTTCCATTGCCAAATTGTGTCTACGTGCTTCGGCGTTTGCAGCGGCTTCAGCTTTCTTATCGTTGACAGCTTTGGCTATCCCAGCAGCTCCACCGGCAGTTGCACCAGCTGCAGCTAAACCAGCAAAGATTAAAGGTAAGAAAGGTAAAAATCCACCTTTTTTTAGTTAAATTCTCATCAATTCTTTCCAAGTCTATATCATCTCTGACTTTGCAATGTTTGTATTTATCGATAATCTTTTGGTTTTCGGGGAAGGGAGGGTTTCATTCTCCCAAATGTACAGGCCTAGGGTGGAGCAGACACTTTATTTAGAAATTAGGATTAAGGGTCTTGATATTGGGTTTTCTTCTGTTCTTATTCTGATCTGAAATTAGAAAAAATAACTCGCCCGATGGGCGAGAAGTATAGTATCTGTTATGTACTGATTGTTTTTAGTTTACTATGAACAATATTATCATTTAAGTTCTTATTTTTTGAATATGCAACTATCATTTTCTGCTTATAGACATGGGGGAATTTCTCTTGAAGGCTCTTATAGTGGGCATGAACTATCTTGCTTGCTCGATTGCTGGTTGTATTAAACGGGACAACAAAGGGTGCTATGCCTACATTATGATGAATATTTAGTCCTATAGGTCTTGCTGTATTCAATGTCCCAATCCAATGGGCCTCCCTAGATTGACGGAATTTGGTAGTTTCATCTTCGGGCAAGTCAATTTCTATACGCTCAATTGGGATTAGGGTGAGATCGTCTATTGAATGGTCGTCGAGGTTGAAATGATTAGAAACAGGCTTGTCTTTCTTTAATTTGATGTCTGACCTATGAGCATTAAAGCGAGTTCGTGAATTATTCTTAGTTTCTCCTACATATTGTTTGGGACATTCTT